CCCAAGTTCGATGAGCCAATCGCCCTCCCCCACACTGAGCACGCCCGGTCATAGCCAGGAGGGTACTCAGAACCTCAGCGGCAGAGTCCGCTCTCTCAAACCTTAGAAAGGTCTTCTCAGAGGCCACTCTGAAAATGCTTCATGCAACTATTTTAATCCCCCTACATAAGATGGCATTTTTCTAAAACAAGGTTCTTGGGGATTGCTGAAATGATTCAACTTTGGCTACTCTTTCGTGGAGGATGTCTTCCGGCTGTTCACCTGATGGAATCAAATCTAAAATAAACAAAACAACAAGAAAGAAAGGCAAACACAAACCTGATGGCAAGTTACCAGATGTCTGCCTCAGATTCTATTCCTGGTCTCTGGCAAACTCCCTTCTCTGGGTCTGAGTTTCTTCACCAATTCGGAAGTCAGATTCCATGATGTCTAAGGTTCCATCCAGCTCAAGAATACCGTTAACGACGTTGCCCAGACATCCGGGCCTCAACGTGCCACTTCATCTTGCGTGAAAAGTGAAGCTGGCTGCCATGGCTGTGCCTTGGTGGTTTTGCTGAGCACACACACGTCTGCATGCACGCCTCGTAAAGGTGGGGAACACACGCCTACCGAAAGGCAGCACACACCACAGCCCCCTCCCGGGACCCCTGATACTTATGGCACCTAAACGGGGCCTCTGTAATGTCAAATCCATCAGTAACTGGGACTCCAGGATGCTTTTTTAAATTCCACAGCAGATTAAAGAAGATCTAGGTAAACAGAAAGAAATCTTGTGTTCACTGATTGGAAAACTTATGATTGTTAAAATGGCAACAGTTCCCAAAGCAATCTATAGATTCAGTGCAATCCCTATGAAAATTCCAGCGGCCTGTTTTTGCAGAAATGACAACACCACGATGTGAATGAAAATAACTGATGTGCTAAGGTAGTAAAACTGCACACGTGTGCACTTTTTTGGTTTTCTCCCCAGTGCTTGTACAAATAGATCTGCACTCCCTCCCTCCGCCACCGCCCCCACGTGCCCTGACCCCTCGGATGGAACATACCCACGCCACGCTTTATCCAAACTGACGAGACAGGAACTCCATCCAAACCATTCAGACCACGGCTTGTGAGCTTCTTACAGCCAACCGGGGCAACGGTCACCTCTGTCTATCAGAAACAAGCCTTCCTTTTGCTCTAAGAACTGAAGTTTGGAGGCTTTTCTGGTACCTTTGGCCTTTACCTTTGGAATTAACCTTCTCCCCTCCACATTTCTGAACTTCACCTCCAGGCTGCCATTTGTGCTCCTACCCACATGCCCTTTCCCATTTCTAGATTTTCTCGTGTTCGTGACAAAAGCATTGCAGACAGATTTGAAGCAGACCCTTCTAACTCTGCCTGTAGTTTAATGGAAAGGTGGTAGGCCAATGTCAACCCTAACATCCAGAAACAGAAGCTTAAAAAACAAACAAACAAAAAAAAACACGTAAAAAAAAAAATCATCTCAAAATGGATGACAAATGAGAAACCATAGGAGTTTCTATCAAAAAGTCACCTTTCTTTACCACAAATTAAATCAGATTTGTCAAACCACTTTGCCCACAACCTAAAAAAAACAACAACCCTCTTATTTCTAGAAAAAGAATACACTGACTGATGAGATTTCATGCACAGAACAAATATTCACTGAGGAACAATTATGTCGCCGGCACTGACAGAGCAGCGAGAGTGTGCAGTCCAGCAGACTTCGGAAGACCTGTTGAGGGCACTGCCGTGTTCAGAAACTGCCTGTGTGTTTCATAATTCTCTCCTATTTTAAGTAAGCTTCAGACCAAATTAGTGTTATAATTAACATGTTAATTTCTTCCGGGTCTATTTCAACTGAGACACAGTGAGCTGGGATGTTCCCCTTACTCTGTCTCACATTCTGACTCCCCGTCTGCTGTTTCTCCCCCAGTAGAGTGTCAGCACGTCTTGCTCATCTCTGCACATCTCCTGACGGGTACGAGACTTTGTGGACTTTCTTCACGAAGAAGCAAGCAGCTCCTTAAAGAGTACAGAGCCTCGTTCCCATCGGAGGACTCTGACGCCTCCTTCCCACACGTTCTGTCTTTCGTCTTTCTTCACACACAGGTCTGCTCCAGTCTGGCTGTTTCCCATCTATAAACATATTTCTCTTCTTCGATTGCTATTTCCTTTTACAAAAAAGGCTTCATTGCCTTACAGGAAGTTTGGATTTGCCCTTAAACCACAATCAGAGTTGCCAACTGTCTCCTTAATCTACGTTACGTATAATCCCCTGGTTGGGTTTTATGTTCACCTATGCTGTTTATGCCAGAATGACTTCCTGGAGGGCAGAAACACAATCTCTTTCTGTGAGCTGTGACTGTCCCCTCCTACATCCCAGGGTGTGAAGCATCCTTGGCTCTGAATCCTCCTATTCCCTATCCCAAAGTTTAGGAGGCATCCAGAAATCTAATGTTAAGATTCCTAAGTGAATGACAAAAAGGTATGCTTATTATGTGAAGGGAGATACGAATTTAAAAAATAAAAAAAAATAAAATCTCATGAGTTAACAAATCAGAACTTTGGGAAGAAAAGAGACTTTCAAGCAAAACATTACATTTCCAGAGTTCTAAGAATTCCACGTTTCTAATTGAAAGGCAATGAAAGGATTAAAAAAATAAAAGCAGATTTCATTTACATTCTGATATGGCAATTTTAAAGCAAGGACTGGCAGTGTTAAAAAAGGGAATGTTAAAAACGTAAGTATATTTGATACACTGTCCTCATCAACAGGAGACTCTGAGGATTTGGAATAATCCATACTAGTAATGCACCTTTCAAGTGGCATATACTTTACAAGGATATGGTGGAATAAGACCAGTTTGTTATGGAATGTGAGAGAAAAATCAGTTTCCAGAGAGCAGACTATTTGCATTTTTAGCAAACGTGAATAAAGAACTACAGCCATCTCTCAACATCTTACACTGTATGTAGCCATTTGATTTTTCAAATAAGCAAATTTAGCTTCATTTTTACAGTGAATGGTTTTGCTCAAGTGGCTAAGAGACATGGTTTGAGAACAGAAAGAATCTTTGGTTCCCAATCTGTACTCTCCAGTGGTGGGACCCTCCTGTTCGGATTCTTAAGCAATGGAATCCCAATGCCCAGATGAGCAGAGAATTCGGGCTGGAAAGCTACGGAACAGACCCAAATCTCTGATCCATCTCTCTGCTTAATGGCCTGTCACGGCACCTCACAAAACACTGGTTCTACAGAAACCCGAATGATTCCCCCAAGAAACACAGGGAGCAAAGTGCAACTGTGAGGAAGGGAAACAAACAAAGAGTTAATCCACTCTACCAACCCAATCTCCTTCTCAAAGACTCTGTCCTCTATGGTAGCTTGCCACGTTCCACCCAACAACAGCTGCTCATGATAATCAATGTCTGACAGATCAGAGAAAGCCCTTAATGTGTCGCCAAGGGGCAGTTCAACAGATGGCATGGTGACTTACAACCAGAATCATTAATTACACTCTCTTATTAGTCCCGGGGCACAGTGCTGAAAATGCTTCCTCAGTGAAAGATGAGCATTTCAGATAAATGACCGTCTGGTACTGCCTGTGAAACTCCCTTTAGGATTTCTGGTCAGTGTCGATTTCTAAATCTAAGCCATACTATTTTCACAGCCGTTTCCCATCTTCCACTTCTAGGGTGGCTTTATGAAGCCCCCCCCCCCCCCCCCCCCCCCCCCCCCCCCCCCCCCCCGACCCCAACCCGCACCGCTACCTATCTCTGATCCCATAATCACCGCAAGTAAGGATATGGTCAAAAGTGCCCATCACTCATCACCTGCCTCAAGTCAGCAACTGTGTGAAAAGGCAAACATAATAATCTCAGCCACAGAACTAGCTCCGTTTCCCCTCCCTCTGTGCCAGAGAACATGTTTCTTGAGTGCTGGGGTGGGGAGAGGGGACTATCCCCTCCTTCCCTTACCTACTCTGGTATTTTTCTTATAGTATGTGACTGCTTCTCCAACTCAAAACTGTCCTCACCCCTGAAACCACTGGCAGCTTCGGGCAAGCGAAGGTTCCCAAATGTCCATACTGCTGGCTGCATTATGCAAGTGCTGATGTTAAACCACCATGTACTGAATTAAGAAGCCAAACAAATCCGTGGTGAGGAACCAGTTCTAGAGCCTTCCCCAAGGGCATTCACGCTAATGTGAACTCAGGGTAGGAATCAGTTCCTTCTCCACAGTTTGAGAACTGGACTTCATAAACATTACTGTGAAACTGTAGAACTGATTGAAGACAGAGCTTAGAGGCAGACTTCTTATTGGCCTTAACCGTGGATATAAGTCAGAAATAAATCTCAATATGATCTGGACGACAGAAAATTCAAAGCATTTCCCAAATACCACCAAATGAACATGCTTGGGTTTTATTAACCACCTATTCTTTTTGTACCTCAATCTATGTATATATTTTTTTAATGCGAATTCAAACTAAAGCAATATTAAGATCCTAAATGCTTTTTTTATTTTTATTTTTTTTCCAACGTTTTTATTTATTTTTGGGACAGAGAGAGACAGAGCATGAACGGGGGAGGGGCAAAGAGAGAGGGAGACACAGAATCAGAAACAGGCTCCAGGCTCTGAGCCATCAGCCCAGAGCCTGACGCGGGGCTCAAACTCACGGACCGCGAGATCGTGACCTGGCTGAAGTCGGGCGCTTAACCGACTGCGCCACCCAGGCGCCCCAAGATCCTAAATGCTTTAAGACTTCATTGTTTGTTTCCTGCATTCCGGTTCGTTCCTTCTTGGACACATAAAATCGTGACTTCATTTTCAACTCGGTTCAAATAATTACACAATTATCTGATGGATGTTCTCATCTCATAAATTTTTAAAAGACAAAAAAATGTGTTAATTAAAGCATAATAAAAATCTCCTAATGTGGACTATAGGCAGGGAAACTTGGAAAGTCTGGGTCCGCCTTGCAACGTACTCACTTCTAGCTTTTTCTCCTTTTCTGACAAAACGTCTTTCTGGTTCTGGGTGTACTCCACCAACATCCGAGCCAGCTGGCGCCGGTCTTCCAGTTCTGCCGCCAGACGCCCGTTATATTCTGCTAGTAACAGACACGCTTCATCTACTGTTTTTGAGAGACGTTCGGCTGCCTCTTTGTCTACATACAAATGAGACCAAAAAATAGAGACAATATAGAAATCACACAGGCATGATTGCAAACATTTCTGGGGAAGGTTAACAGTTTCTCTCAACGTACAGAGTCCAAAAATAAGCCAGAACCTGTAGACAAACAACGGACTGACTGACAGAGAAACCCAAAGGCACTCACTCCTAATAAGATAGGACATTTCTGAATTACCTGAAGTGAGGGTAATCTTACAAAGGATTTCTAAATGCCTATTCCTGCAAAAGCTCTATAAATAAACCAAGCAGAAAGAGATATCTAAGCTCATACGTGAAATAATTTTTCCTTGCCTCTGAGAATTTCCAAAGTGCTCTCATTCATATTATTTTGTTAAGTATTCTTCGCACATTCTTTTGAAATAAAGACGCAAGCACTCGTTTCTTGGGTGTGGAAACTATGGCCAAATAAAAGCTACAGGACAGGTTTGACACCAGGCGGTCAGCGGAGGAGCTGGGACTCAAAACCACGGCTCTAAAATGGACTTATAGGACTCTACCCCTTACACCATGTAAGCCTTAAACCCGGGGATGAGCTCTTGTCTTCCATTCAGCAAAATACAGGGTCTGATAACAGACATTCTTTCAAATTCTTTAACCGCGACCCATGCTAAGAAACACACTTAATGCAAACGCAGAAAAAAGACGTGTTTCATAAAACAATACTTATCCTTACTATGTACAAAGTGTTCCATCTTCTTTTGTTTTTTTTTTGTTTTTTTTGGTCATTACCTACCAGACTGATGTACATCCCATTAACGAGTTGCAACTCATTATTTGCAAAAAAACCGGGAAGCATCTAGGAAAGGGTATTCTTGGGAAAGAAGGTGAACAAGACTCAACATTAGGAAATGAGAAGAAGAAACAGAAGGATGATCTGTACTAGGAAACAACAGATATAAGTAATTTCATGCGGGTGTGGTGAAACTGCAACTTTAATACGTGCATATCATTTAAAAAAGGCTGTTAGGGGTCAAAAGAGCGGATCAATTCTTTGAACCAAGAACACCAGGGACACCAGCAGCTCTGTGGGACCAACTGGAAGGGGATTACAGGGATACCGGTATGCTGTTCCCTGTGAATACAGGTCATCAGAAGTGAGAGGCCTCGGTATTCTGGGAGGCCATGGGATTTAAGGATTCCCAACAGAGTTTCTGTTTGGCACACAGTCTGTTTGACTTTTGGACGCCTTCTTAATATGAATGTCACGAGGTGAACTGTTGAGAGATCCCAAATTAGGTCTGATGCCAAAGATGAGGAACTTCTACACTCCTCAGGAGCAGGGAAACAAAAGGATGTTCTTGGTGAGGAAGAAAAGAGTGAGCCAAAGAGAACACAAAGGAAAGAGACAATCTCAATCACAGAAAATTAAAGAAGATGGTGAAACTTATTCTTCAAGATTGGTGGTAAAGTCTGAGAACAAGCTGCCGGAGTGGTGAGGTTGATTTTACCTTTGTCTTCGCTTGACTGCATCTCTTTTCCCCCCAAATAGTCAATTCTTTAAAATGTTTTGAGCGCCCATGGCAAAAACGGCAAGGAAAACACTAATTTTAAGATTA